TTTGTTGGGTGTAGTTACACTTCCAAGCTGTTAGGAAAAAAAAAAAAAAAAAAAAAAAAAAAAAAAAAAAAAAAAAAAAAAAAAAAAAAAAAAAATCAGTGTCTTATTAATCCTCTGCACTTGCACAGCAGTTGCTGACAACAAACCCCAGAGCTGTGAATGCCAAAGCAGCTCCGACATGCCGCCTTCGCTCTTTTCATCTCCTGGCAGCCACCGTGACACTCCCCAGAGCCTCCCCACCTGTATCACCACTGCTGTAGAGAGATGGGGACCCAGCACCCACCCACTGAACCGCAGGGGATGTATTTTGTGCATCTAAAAGGAGTGTTTAACATTTATGGCGGAGTGTTTAGCATTTATGGCATTTATGGAAGAAATGGGAAAGAAACAATCATTTTCAATAGTCCTAACCAATGCAAATTTCCTATTTCTAATTTATTATTTCTTCCTTACAATCACATGCAGTATCACCTTAATAATTATTTTATTTACTAAGACTCATTTAAAAGTAACAATGTTATTAAAGAAAATAACTGTCTTTTTAAATTTTAGGTAGGAATTTCATTTTTTTAAAAAAGGGCATTTTTAAAGTACAGCACAAATAATAAATGTTCTCTTCTTCCCTTGTACTTCTACAAATCTGGCTCCTATACAAGCTGGACACGTAAGCAGCATCTATCCAAGCTCCATGCAGTGTTTCAGATTTAGCCCTTTTAAGTGCCAGCAAACATTTTACCACAAACCTGTAATCCTAATACTTTTTTGTATCTGCATAGGGTTAAACTTGGGTCAAATTCCATTAACCTGCTTGAAACAAAATATTAACTTGGTTGAAATGTTTGCTGTGGTAACAATCAATGAAGTGTCCAGTGTAGAAAAATCTATCAGCTTCAAACTAAATGTTGGACTGTCTTAATTAGATCCTTACGAAGTTGTACCCATCATGCCACACGTGTCAGATTTTGTTCACATTTACAATCAGAAAAAACACAAATTAGAAGAGAAAATGCATAATTTTTCAATTATAATCTGAAATTACTGAGATTTTCATGCAACCTAAGACAACACTAACAATTGGAATCACCGTGTCAGTGACACTGCAAATGTTCAGTGCAAAGAACCTCAACCTGCTGAATTCAATGTCCCTACTACATAAGAACAAATTTTCAGGCAATTCCTACATATAAATATGTATTTAATGTTTCTGTCTTCACCATTAGAATACATATATATAATACATATATATATATATGATTATATATATAATCATATCATCACTGTACTGATCCAGCTGCACAGAAGTTTATTCTTGCTACCTGTAACTCACCTGACCATCGCCTTTGTCTCTGTTCTTTCAACCTATTAATATTCTTCTAAAATCTCTTGTTTCCACTCAACACTGTCAGTCTCCATGTCATTTCACTGGCTGTGCCATCTATTTTAACACACACAGCAATTCTCTTTCTCCCTAGATAATTTAGTACACCATGCTTGGGGACAAATGTAAAATCCATAAAAGGAACTAAAATCCATTCACCAAAACACAAGCAAAGTACAATTCGACAGTTTTTCTGAGATCTTTTTTTCTGAGAACACAATATGCTCAACATTGTATGATATTAAATCTCTGTATTGCCATGGGCTTCCTCCCTATCTGCTATTTATGGCATTTATGGAAGAAATGGGAAAGAAACAATCATTTTCAATAGTCCTAACCAATGCAAATCTCCTATTTCTAATTTATTATTTCTCAGGTTTGTACTCAGGTTTGTGTGCTCAAACAGAGCTCCCTCATAGCAGGGGACAAAAAACACACCAACACTGCAGGGTGGAGTCATGGTGTAGTATCAGTGAGTATCTTGACCTGTCTTTCTGTATTTGTATTTCTCCTCTTAGAGCCCTAAGTATGTTGTACCTTCTGATTATAATAGCTCAGATTAGCACTGTCGGATAAGAAAAGAAGAATATTTGCATCACAGCCGGCTGTACAATTTTTTTGTATATAGCATGAGTCTTTTGGGATTTGACAAGGGAATGCCCTTGGGCTTCAGAAGTGTCCCTTCCCACATCAAATTCTGCTCAGCTTTTCCCGACACATCATGTGTTAAAATTGCTATTTCCATTCTGCCTTTTGTGGGCCTCAAGAAAATACTGGCCTCCTTCCAGAACAATGCCTATCTTGACTACCCTACAGACCCTAGAAGGAGCCATAAAGGCAGTAAAAGCCATAAAAGCAAAGGGATGATGTGGAGAACACCTAGGAGCAGCAGTGAGAGTGGCAGGAGAGCCCTCCCAGCACCAGCTCACCCAGTACCTGGAGAAGTCTGAGTTACTGTTTTCCCCATTTCTTAAAACCATGAGAGACTGTAAGAGAAGGAGTGGGGCCAGCAGGTCCAGGGAGGGCATCCTGCCCCTCTGCTCAGCCCAAGAGAGGCCCCATCTGGAAAACTTTGTCCAGTTCTGGGCTTCCTAGTGAGCCTTAGACAAGGAGCTGCTGGAGAGGTCCTTGAGCAAAGGATAACAGAAATGGTGAGGGATCTGGGACATCTCTCTTATGAGGAGAGGTGGGAGCTGGGCCTGGTTAGGATGGGGGAGAGACCCAGAGGGGATCTCATCAATACAAATAAATATTTACAAGCTGGGTGCCGGAAGGATGGTGCCAGACTTTCTTTTGTGACAGGACAAAGAGCAAAGGCCATAAACTAAAGCACAAGAAGATCTGTCTCAACATCCTTTTCCATGAGGGTGGCAGAGCACTGGAACAGTTGCCCAGGGAGKGYGCAGAGGCTGCCCCTCAGGAGACATCCCAAACCCCCGCTGGATGTGTTCCAGTGTCATCTGCTCCAGGTGATTCTGCCTTAGCAGAGGTCGGACTGGGTGATCCCCACCTGTCCCTTCCAAACCAATCAATTCAGTGATTCTGTGACACTGGACAGAGTTTCCTAAGCCACCCTCAGCTTCTGCTACGCATGTTCTGGTGATCGCGTCTCACCTGAAAATACTAGATGGAACATGAAGTCCTGGCAGGTAAGAACAAACAAATGTCCCCTTCAGCAAGACCCAGCTGACTATCCACACTGAGAATCATGGGGACTAYATCTGGTGTCAGCTCAGACTAATTTGGGTGCCAGCAGTCTCTGTAGCAACGCAGAAGGCTCAGGCAAAGGGCAGATGATGAAGCACATGAAGCAATTCAGCAGCCTCAAGGAAAATTTGTATTTCCTTTAAAGAATTTGCACCACAAATAAAGGTACTCTAGTACCCATGTAAAAGAAGCACTATGGAATTTGTCAAGAAAGGCACTAAGAGGTTCAATTATATTACTGACAATTCACAACATTAGCTGAAACCCATCTGCTCACTGGGGTGTGGTTTTCTATCACAGAAGTTTTAATTCTTTATTAAATGCTGTATTTTAATTATTAGAAGATACATTTTGTTGCTCCTTTGGAATCCTGTCTCGTTCAGAGCACTAAATAGATACAGCTCATGGTATTCTGGCAGCAACTTGTAATCTTCCAGAGCTTGATTTTTCCAACTGAACATTGTCCTTTTAGTGTGTAGAGTTTGGGGAAACCTGGAACATCATTAAAGTGAAATTTGTGTAACATGACCAAACCTTAGAGATGACCACCCGAGAGATAGGGTCATCCAATTTATGCTTTATCCTACTGTTCGTGGTCCTGCCAGCACCACTGGGGTTCAGTAAATCTGTTTGCTGCACCCATCCCTTCTCACAGGATAATTAGTGTGTTTCCTGTTCAGGAGGAGACCATTTTAATACATTTAACACATCCATATATGCCACACAGCACAGTGAAACCTTGTTCACTCATTAGAGCCCTACTGGTTGTACCAAAATAATTATGATACCACCCACATAAGAGGCAGCTCACCAACACAGAGCTTAAAAGACCACCTGGAAGTGCTGAGGCACGCAGAAGTAATGGGGAAAATAACTAAACAAGCCCTTTCAAACCCTTAATAAGAAAAATGTTTCTTTTGTGACTGGTTTGTGTTCTTTAAAATAGGTAGTTTTGTCTACCCGCTTTATTCATCATACAGTGAAATACATAATGTGACAAAAGAACCTGACCGCACAAATAACAAATTTTTCCCCACCACAAGCAATGTTTTAATAGGTAGCCCAACCCCCAAACTCTTTTCTCCCTCTGTGACTAAATCAGGACCATGATTTTAAAACTAGTTAGCAAGGTAACCTTTTTCTTCTTCCCTTAGGAAATCTGCTGTGGTCAATCCAAAATTCAAATCTAGGCTCCTTGCCAGCCATTACAGGCCTAATTCCCACAACAGCCCAGAGAGTTTTAGCCATAGTCAGCATCAAATTAAATATATGTTTACAGCTAAAGCACAAAGTGTTGTTTGTTGTGTGAAAACTTGCCATTATATTGTTCATTCTTAGGAGTTTACAAGATTTCACAAAYAATAGCAAGCCAGTGACATAAACCCATACAACATAAAACACATAAAATTATACACAGTAGAACTTTTTGACTCATTTAAGAACTTTATCAATTAAAGAGCATCAACTTTTCATTATCCTTACATAGACAATAAAAGGAAGAGACTTTTTYACAATATTTGGGTGCAAAATAGCCSAGATGTAAAGGCAGCAGCACACACTTGGCCACTCACTGTGGCAGCATCTGCAGGGCAGGTGCTCTCCATAGGGGGCACAGAATTGAGATCCTGTATCCACAGGACTTGCCCGGGGTTGGTGCAAGAGCAGGGGAATGACAGAAGGGGCATAAACACCTTCCTAATCCGTGGGAAAATCAAGAATCACAGTGGGTCCCTGACCTTGGGCTGGCCAGAGGATGAAGACTAAAGCCAACATTAAATTTACACCACTGGAGTACCACATGAGAGAAAGAGAACAAAAGGATGTGCCCTAAAATGTTCTTTTAYGTATCCCTTTCACAATAGAGATGCAATCCTCTCTTATATGCATAACATCACCTACACCACTAAATACACCCTGTGTATGCCTCTGGAAATATTCCCAGGAACAGCCATTCCTATTTAATTTGCAGCCACAGGAAAAAGGAAAGCACTTTTAAGAGCAAAAAAAAAATACCTACCTGCTCTTCATTCACACCTCAAATTTTTCAGGAAATCAAAAACACATATTTTTMACAATCTAGAGCACAGCTGAATCTGACTTTCATCTTCATGGAATGAAACTTGGTTAGAAAGTTATTAAGGAACTGAATTCATGAATGCCTGGACTAGAGAAATTCAGATATGAGTGGGGCAGTCGGTGGGTCGCAGTAGCAACCAGTAAGCTGCTTAACACTGCTCTGAATTCAGTCTTTACATGATCAACTTCTGGTTAACAGAAAAAATTGGCAAATATTTAGCCAATTCAATAAATTATCAATTCAACAGGTTATTACTATATTTAGATGAAACAGGACTGTCATCACAAAACATTGGTTTCAAAAGCATATCAGCTTGACTTAATTTAAGGCCAGGCATTATTCCCTTCAATATTTTAAAGTAAAGTGAAGACCACACTGTGAATACAGCACTGCTTCCTCTTGCTGAGCATGCCCTGCTCCTCACCTCTGCCTGCAGCAATCCTGCACAACCCTTTGGAGCGCTGCTCCAAGCCACTGCCTGCCTTGGCTAAAACATCCCAGCCTGGCTTCCATCCCCCTTTGTCTCTTTAGGAATGTCATCTCCCAGTGGAAAAAGAGAGAGAGCTCAGGCTCAGGGACATGGAGATGGTTCAGGCAGAGTGAAAATGGCATTGCCCAGCACACCCTGAAACAGGATTTCAGTCAGTGTTGCAAGCACAGCAGGCTGTGATGCACCCAGGGACGCTGTTCCCAGGCACTGCAGGGCCAAGCGAGGCTGAGCAGCACAGAGCACCAAGCACTGGCTTGAGGACAGCATTAAAGAGAAAAAAAAAATCAATCCTACTTCCATTAAATAGTTTTTTACCATTTGTACTTACTTCATTTAGCTTTCAACAACATTTAGCATGTGGTTCTGTTCCTATCTAAGATGTTAATGGCTATTATTGCAAACAAACAAAARAAACTGTGACTGGAAACCTGAGCCAGGAAACAGTGAAAGTTAGGGAAAGTATGACAATCTCAGGCTTCACAGGCAAACAGCACAACAGGGTGAATTTTATACATGGCAAATCCAATCTACCGTGTCTCTTACTCACCGTTTGATGACTTCGGTCACAGTAGCGCAGTCCAAAGTAATCTATTTCCACCAGGTTTAAGTGACGAAATACGTAGCCCAGGACAACCGACCCCTTCGTTGACTTCTGTGGGAAAGAATTTACAGAGCCTATTCACAAAGATGCTCTGCCTTTGTCAGCTATGTGCAGTGGCATTCATGCATTCAATTAGCTTTGTCTGGGTAAAAAAAAAAAAAAAAAAAAAAAAAAAAAGGCAGTTCCCAGTGCCTTTAACAAAAATTTCAGCAATACGGATGAAAATATTTTACATGTTCAAACAGCAATTTTCTAAAATACTATTAGGTATCTGGCAAGTTAGTAGTTACACGATACCAAATGAAAAACAAATAAACAAGCAAACAAACAAAAAAATCACAGTTCTGGTGAACATAGCATTTTTAAAATCAAACTCCCCCTACCAGTACAGACCTGTCACTCAAACTCTAACAATAGAGATCAGGAGGCAAAAYTGCCCTTAAGACCCGAATTATACATCATTAGCTTCTCTGTTACTAATCTGTGTGAAGAAGGTTAGGTTTTATTCGTTTTCTTGCAAAATATTTTTGATAGGGGGAGCAGTCCAACAGCCTGAATTGAAATAATCCCATTGTTTCCTTGAATAGCACTTCRTTAAATGCCTACGACAGTATTTGCAAACAATGCTGGGGACAATATTGCAAACAACACTGTACTGTTGAGAATGCTCTATAAAAAACTCACTTCCACCTGAATGCCTCATATTTGTCGGTTCGCCTGGCAGACAACAACAAACAGACAAGGAAGATGGAGAATAATTACACAGAATGATCCCCCCTAAGAGCCTTTGACTACTACAGTCCTAAATTCCACAAGAAAATATGGACATAACTCATCATTAGGTTTTGCTAAGCTGCTTCATATTTTATAGGCTACTAGATTGTAATAAAATCATCAGAGAAAAAAGAAACAGAAAGTGGAAGCTGTGAGATCTTGTTTGTGCTGTTTCACTTTCTAGCCTGTGAACAAGTAATTTCAAAATTCGAAAGGCAAATAATACTGATTTAAAATCAAACTCACCCTTCCAGTACAGACCTGTCCTGTAAAATTTAAAATTTTAAAAATCATTTTATTTAACTTTGCTGGTGAAGTACCAATCACATCACAACAGTGAAGATCTAGGGGKTTTTTTTCAGCAAATGCATTTGGTCAGAATTCGTATCTAATCTCACAAGCAGGGACAMTACAACAATTTTAGGTCGCCACTCACACATTAAGCAAGCAATAACAACATAAACATCTCTGATAGGCTGGAAATTTCATATCCATGCTATTAATCAGATTTACTATGTATTTGCTAAAAAACAGGATGTGAACTGGAAAGGTTCTCTTTGTCTAAACCCATCATACTGGTTGTTTACATCAAGCAACTGCAATTACACATCTCCTCAGTGTGAACAGTGAGATTTCATGATCAGCCAAAAAACAGGGCGTAATCAAAAAACATGACTAAGGTAAGCAGAGATTCACTATATTTCAATTCATCAAGTTGGATAAAGCAGAGCAATAYAAGGATTTTGCCATCAGATTCATCAAAAAGAAACTGAACAGAACAAGGCAAGACAAGCTGTAGAGTGACTATCAAGAGCACTACAGCAAAAAAAAAAAACCAGAACAAAACCAAGCACACCTTAAAAATACTAAAGATACAGGTTTGATTACTAGGCAGCAGGGATTTAAGACCGAAGCAGTAATTGTCCTTGCTCGTTTTATTTTCGAATATGTTGCTCAAAAGAAGAGGAGGAGGCATCCCATTCATGACTGTTATCTCGTCATTCATATGTTGGACTTGATGATCCTGATGGCAGGTTCTGTGACAYTGATTCCAACTGGCATGTTATATGACTTGTCTCATATAAGGCAAATTCCCTTGACCATTGTAACTGTTTYCATTAGCATCTAAACAGCACACAGCCTCTTGGGAATCTAGGACTGGAGAGACATCTCTAGGACCAGACACAAAATCATATATCATTGTTTACATATCTCAAAATGAACAAGCAGCTCTGACTCCAAATAACCCACGCAGGTCAATGATGGCAACACTTCCAGCTGGACACAAAACATCAGGAGAACATTTCAGACAATAGGATCTCCACCAGCAGCCACTCAGAGTCAATGGCTTTTGACATGGCAGCCACAGTGAGGTCAACAAACTCTTGCAGAAGTTATAAAGAGGGTTGCCTGCTCCACAGCTATGCCCCACCAAACCTTGCTCAGTTTCTGTGATTGTGTCAAGCTCAAATGTGTTTGCTTTCAATGAGCTCTCCACTCTTTGCCTGACCAGTAACATTATTCACAGAATCAGCTGGTTTTATTAACAGCACTGAGAAATATTGATTGAGMCACAAAGATGAAGCCGTCAGTTTCCCATTCAGGCATCTTACAATAATAGTACATAATCCTGGGAGCTTAAGCCTTGCAGGAGTTTAACTCACATGACTCTGCACCAGTTTAGAACATAGTTACCCTTCTTGGCTGGAAGTCTTCTGCTTCATTCAGCTGAGGACTGCACAAAAAGAGTTTTTGGGACAGCTTTCCTCCCATGGGCACCAAAGCTGGTGTGTTATCCCCAAGAAACATGCATATTTCAGGCTTGGTTTGGTTGAAATTAAAGCGTCCTTTCTTTCCTTTCAGAGATAAAAGGCTTTTTAACTGCTTTTTGCTTTTGCTGCTAGGCAGAGAGAAAACATAAATGCCTGTTAATTTACTCTCTCTTGAAGCAGCTCACTTAACACTTCAGGAATTGCGAGTCCTGCAGAAACAGGTGGTCTGGCAGTGAGGAAAGGCTGAGCAAAACCATCCAGCTGACAGCAGCTGGGGGCTCACCACCTCTGAAGCAGCAAGATGTRGAGCGCTTTGCTTACCCTCAGCCAAAACAGACCAAGTGTTGTAGCCTCCACAGCCCTCTTTGCCAATCCCCTTCACATCTTTCAGCAAAGCCTGCATGAGCACAAAGAAGTGCTTTGCAAGGGAGCAGCCAGGACATGAGCCAGGACCTATCCTCACACCCTTCTAACCTCCTTAATATTCCCAGCACTGAGAATATTCCTGCCTTCCTTAACATTCCCAGCACTGAGAAGCACTGTCCAGGTAAAACACTGACCCCTTGGCAAAACCACAGCAGCCTCATTTTCAATTGAGGTTCTCCCTTTAAGCCACATGATTTCAGGTTTTCATGCAAGTAATTTGCATCTTCAAATTGAGTCAAGAAATCAGTTTTGCTGATGAATCCCTTCGTGGCTGCTGTTCAGACCTGAAACACATTTTTGCCACATTTGTACAAAGTTTTGCAAACAAAGAGAAACTTATTTCCCCTGATAAAATTGCAGCAAAATTCAGCAAAGCTAAAAAACCAAACTATCAAAGACTTTAACAGGATTACATTCCCATTATATGGCATTGCAAACATTACATAACCTCCCCTTGCAYTAAGCTCAGACTTGCAAAAGGATTGCATTCTTAGGGGTAAACCCAAGTAAATATCATCAGCAATGCTTTCAAGAGAGAACAAAGAATTGTTTCAATGAGTCATAACGTCTTGCTTTACAAGGTGTTAGCACTGTGGCTTCATAAACCAGAAAGGCAGGTTTCTACTGACTAAAGAAAATGACAGACAGAACATTCAGGAGAAGGCTGATTTAATTGTAGTTTTCTCCATCAAATACAAATTATTCTTTCAAAAGCAGTACATACAGTACGTGTTTTATCATATTCATATTACTCTATRTTTAGACACCAGAAAATAAAATCTTTCACACTGCTCACTGCTTTTTAGCTCCAGTAAGGTTTTTTTCCTTGCTGGCTATTTTTTAATTTCCTCTCTTGTGTTGTACAGAGCAGTGGAGTAATGCAGTGGGCAATTCAGAACTATAACCGATGTTAACTGAATTTAAAGAGAAAATCTCTGCTCCAGTAGGATGCTAGTTCCTCTCTTGAGGGAGAATGGGTATAGCTAGTGAATCCTCTTGTTATGGTAATAGAGTAATGCATTGTCTCTTTTAGTTCAAGCAGACATCATCAAGCTTTTCTCCTGACAGTAATTCAATCCACATACTCTATTTCTTACAACCTCATAAAAGCTGAGGAAGACACAGAAGAATTCATGAGCCTTATGCTCAAAAAAGGGCTTCAAGCTTAGGTTGAACACAACCTTTTGTGATGCCTTCCCCATCAAAGAGTCCCATGGGATGCAGCATCCTCAGAGACCAAACTGCAGTATTTGYCCCAGGTAAAGGTCACTGAGGAGAAATTGAAATTATGCACAAAGGCGGCACACAATCCTGCAAGTGAGGGTGAGCAGATACAGAGCAGAAATAGGTGTCTCCAAAGAGCATTTTCTCACTTTCCTTTTTGGCCTATTCTTCCCCATTACCTCAAGCTCAGAAAAGACTAGACACCACTGCACTTTCTCATCACCTTCCCCTGACTAAAGCAGCAAGGCATGAAGCCCTGAAATGAAAGTTCTTGGTTTTTAACAATGCAGACTAAGGATCCCTTTTCCCCAAGGCAGTCGACCACCCAGGCCTCAATTTGCATACCACATGTTCAAGCAGAGAAAAGTCTTTTAATTAAAAATGCTAAACATTTACAAATATTCACGTAGACAAAACAGCTTAACCTTAATTTCCAGAAAGCATGTTCAAAGAGAGAAGAATTTACATCAGTGTTATTTTATACATGCACGGCATTCCCCAATACAGTCATGTAACAGAAGTAAATACTTTTAGGAACTGAGAATTTAACAGATGCAAATGAAATACTACAGGCTGCCCTAAGTATACATCTTTAAAATGAACCATCCAAAATGTACTAATCCATTCCTGCATCTCCATTTGTGTTTCACTGGTACCAGACACAACCCGTTTTCAGAGGTTTTTGTCTAAGAACTCCTCAGATTTGTGGACACATGCACAGACCTTCCTATCAATGTTCCCAAGAACCAGACACGGTATCTGACCTGTCTGGATATAACAGATGACACTGAATGCTAAGTGGTGTAYATTAAGATACATGTGGAATAGTTTTGCTTTCACTGGTGGTCAATCCAT